CTGTTCACAAATGCTCTCCATCCAACCTCACTGAGCTCGAGCTGTTTTGCAAGGAGGAATGGGCAAAATTTAAGTCTCTTGATGTGCAAAACTGATAGAGACATACCCCAAGTGACTTACAGCTGTAATCGCAGCAAAAGGTGGCGCTACAAAGTATTAACTTAAGGGGGCTGAATAATTTTGCACGCCCAATTTTTCAGTTTTTTATTTGTTAAAAAAGTTTGAAATATCCAATAAATTTCGTTCCACTTCATGATTGTGTCCCACTTGTTGTTGATTCTTCACAAAAAATTACAGTTTTATATCTTTATGTTTGAAGCCTGAAATGTGGCAAAAGGTCGCAAAGTTCAAGGGGGTCGAATACTTTCGCAAGGCACTGTATTAGTATTTAGAGAAAAACTAGCAGACATAGCAGCAGACCCACTCATGAATGAGTAACCAGTAAAACATCAATTTGTCATGTTAAATGAATCCATCCATTAGTTATACCACCTATCCTATACAGAATCGGGGGGGGGGGGGCGAGCCAATCCCAGCCACTACTGGGTGAGAAGCAGGGTAAACTCTGGACACAGAGCCAGCAACCATTCACACCTACAGGCAATTTAGAGTCATCAGTTAACATGACCTGCATGTTTTTGAACTGTGGGACAAAACCGGAGCATGTGAAAGAAACCTGCGTAGGCGTGGGAAGAACATGTAAAGAATGGCCCCAGTCGGCAATGAAGTTCAAACCTGGAACCTTCTTGGTGCGAGGTGACAGGGCTAAACACCTCACCAATAAATGTTAAACAAATGTATACATTAATTTCAAATAAAATATCAAATTTCAGCTGCCTTACCCTGCTAGATGTATCCATCCTGGCCGATTTTTGGAAGTTGGTTGGGAACCACATCATCTTCTGGCTCGTGGGAAGGGGAGTCATCTGATCCTCTTATCTTCCCACGGAAAGAGCAAGCGTCTTTTATATTGTTCTGTGGCATCCACACCAGCAGCCCTGTTTGGACATCACTCAGGCCAACCACAAATATGACACAAACCCCACTAATTCTCATTTCTGCTTTTTGCTCATTTGAGAGCTTACTGTCAAATTTGTTGCCATTAATTAGCCATCTGTTGCAGATCATCTCCAAGGCAGTTCTATGCACCTTTGATGAAAGACAGGTATGTCTTTGTGGCTGCATGCCAAAACTCCATTAGGACATACCTTTACAATGAGTGGTGGGGGACAGATATCAATTAGCTTGTGCCCAGTCATTTCCAAAATATCACACAAATACAGAAAACGCCTTGATGCCCTTTCTCAGTTCAACAGCAAACCTCATTCAAAAATAATACCAATAAAGCTCCATGGGCTTTATTCTTTCATAGAAACACAAGATATTTGGTGCATTTTCTTGCACAATAGTCACTAGTGTTGAATCTATGAGCTCATAGTTTCACAAACTTTAATTTAAGTGAAAAGAGGTCCTTAGTGATATTCTTTTGGGAGAACTAGAAACCCTCAGCTATGCCCTTGTTCTCACATGATCTGCTGTATTAATTATAAAATACTCACACCCTCAAAAGTACATATAACAGGATTACAAACATCACTTGACATTCAGGATTGTCTTTTCATCCTCACAGTCATTTACTTAAAGCTACAGTACGTAACTGAACTGAATTAATCCACTCTGCTCTGTCCATCGCTCCCTCTCCCTGCTCCAATATGCTCTACTACAATCTGCTAGGCTCCGGCAGGCTCTGCCAAGCTCTTCAGATTTTCCCTTATGAAATCGAAGGCAACAAAACTTACTGATCAAGCAGACAAAACTGAAAATCTGTGACTGGTTAGAGAGGACAATCCTGCTCGAAACATTTTAGAAGCTAATATGTCTGCACTGCTGTTCAATGAATCTGGGTCACAGGAGGCTTTGACAGCACCTCTCCACATTAAAACACATTTTGAAGAAGATTTCTAGAACAAAAATATTTGAAAAATGTTACATACTGTAGCTTAAATATTTGCTACCATCCTGTTGACTACAGGAAGCTGATAAAACAAAAGCCCTACTTCCTGTTTATGGATAAAAAATTATTTTAGATCATGAGACTTATCAAAGTAGCAGTGCATGAAAAGCAATCAATAAAGAAGTAACAAAAGTTTTATCGATTGCCTTACATTCACTCTGAAATCTGCTTTCAAAATACTGTAAAGAGTTACTGATGTCTGTTTGAACGCAGGCAAAAAAGTAACTATCAATATCTTAGCAAATATTAGCCCAGGTGCTAACTGATACATTGCTCAAATTCAAGGCAAATTAAGAGCAGGCATATATTTGGATGTACCCACAACTGAAAGGCATCAAAGAGCCATGAATGACAGGGTAAACAACAAAGCCAGTTTTAATGGACCACATACAGGAGCTCTTACAGAATCCACACTCACTTTGTAGTGAAACATGTGTCGGCTTATTGTTTGACCCTTGTATTGTGGCGCTAACCCGTAATCCCTTGATCCAGTCCCACATGCACTGGTTGTCCTGATCTGCACCAGAGAACAACGGGTGTCAAATCACTGTATATGTGGAACTAATGTTAAAAAAGAGAATCAGAATATCAATAAAACTAACAACAATTACAATAATATCAATAATTAATATCTGTGTCTGCAACAATTCTTATAGCAATATATGTTCCCTTCATACATTTTACATACAGTTTACATTTATATTCACTTTATTTTGTGTTTTTATTGACAGCAGTACCATGTCTTTGTTGACCTTTAACCTCTAACAGGCAGGGTCTAATATTCCAGTTGTGACTGGCCGGTGAGCTCTGCCACATAAGGACGTGGGCTAGCTCCACCCTGGCGACCAAAACTCCAGTTCACATGCTGTAACATCAAACACACACATTCCCCTGGACGGGAGACAAGGAGACCCTGTGAGGAGAGTCCAGGAATGCTAAAGAACTTTCTATAAATGACAGTGGAGATATGTGGCGCATGACAGAGGTTGACACCAGCAAGTGGAGCAGCCGTGTGACTGCACACATCAACAGCTGCAGTTTGTTTTCCTATTTGAGCTCTACAGCTCCCTGGTTTGTGCTGAAATGGTCATCTGTGACTCCTACAGAGCTCAGCTTAAACGAGATGCTCTACTTTGTACACTTAAAACGAAAAGGGTACCCTCTACAATGAAAGGATTGCACTTTCTTTTACTTTATGCCTAAGATGAAGGAGAAAGAGTGCTAGCATAAAGCAATAAAAGCTCAAAGACACGCGGCGGGGGGGAAATAAAAGGCGAATTGTGGCATTATATGCCAATGTGAGGTAAAGCCTGTACCCACGGAGCTAGATTACACAGAAGGAGTGTATGTAACTAGCACTGCCCAGAGAGAGACAGGGTTCTCTTACTTACTGATCCAACTACTGAACATATTCCAATACAGAAACACATATCAGAGGTTTGTTACCAGCTGCTGCCCTTTTGGTTTTCAGAGAGAATAAAGAGGAGACCAAAATTTTCTGATGGAGGACATTACAAGTGCTATGGATGAGAAGAAATACACGATGGGGATATTTATTGACCTAAAAAAAAAAGCATTTGACACAATCAATCATGAATTATTAATGGACAAGTTAGAAAAATATGGGATCAGAGGAATGGTTCTGAAATGGATTAGAAGTTATTTGACACAGAGGCGTCAATTTGTGAAGTTGGGTGAATACCAATCGAGTGAGCTGGATATTGTATGTGGAGTGCCTCAGGGTTCTGTTTTGGGACCTAAATTATTTATATTATACATTAATGATATATGCAAGGTTTCTGATTTAGTGAAAGTGGTTTTGTTTGCTGATGACACTACCATATGGGCATCAGGTGAAAACCTACAGCAACTCTCTGGACGGGTTACACAGGAACTTGAGAAGATAAAGAAATGGTGTGATAGTAATATAGTATCTCTGAATTTGGATAAAACTAAATTTATGGTATATGGGAATCGTAGACTAGATAATGAATTTCAATTGAAAATTGGGGGAGCTAATATAGAACGAGTATATGAAATTAAATTTCTAGGTGTCATAGTTGATGACAAATTCTCCTGGAAATCTCATATCAGATATGTTCAGCACAAAATAGCAAAGAATATATCAATATTGGCAAGAGTTAGATATATTTTGGACAGGAAAGCACTACGTATTTTGTATTCTTCATTGATTTTACCATACTTAGAGTATGGCATTGAAAATTGGGGAAATACATACATAAGCTCACTTCAACCATTGTATATATTACAAAAAAGAGCGATAAGAATTGTGCATAAGATGGGGTATAGGGATCACACCATTGGAGCTTTCATACAGTCTAAATTGTTAAAATTTTTTGATTTAGTGGGATATAAGACTGCTGTGTTTATGTATAAAGCCAGGAACAATTTATTACCTGGTGGAATTCAAAAACTATTTAATGAAAGGGAAGGGGGATCAAATTTAAGGGGTCAGTTAAATTTAAAAATTCATGCTATACGTACAACCAAAAAAAGATTTTGTATTTCCATAAGTGGGGTAAAACTATGGAATAATTTAAGTGTGGACATAAAAAATAGTAATAGAATTGACGAGTTTAAACATAAATATAAAGGTATGTGTCAATCAAGATATGGGCAAGAACAGGCTCAATGATTAATTAGATGGAACATTGTGGGTGTGGTGTATGAATGTTAACACTTTGTAATAATTCTTTAGTATATTACTTGTGTGGTGTAGAAGAGAATTATTTATGTAGAGATACTGCTTGCAAACCAATGATGATAAGATGATGTCATGGGGTAGGACTGGATAAGTCTGACTTCTTCCTACTCCATTCAAGCATGTACTAGGTATAAGCAAATTGATACTGGATTAGCATTTGTTGGATATGTGTAAAATTATGTGTGTTGACATATCAACTGTCTTTACATGCTTGAAAGAATAAATCAAATCAAGTCAAATCAAATCAAAATTTTCTAACTCAGATGGAAAAAAAAGTAAAGAGCTTTTCAGTTTTCCATCCTGTTTAGAAAAGTGTGACTGAAGTGTGCAGCCTCTCTTTTTTCTCTATAAGCCCCCTGGCCAACTCAAACCTCCTCTCAGACTTGTGTCTCACTTCTAACACGACGGGTCTTCCTCATCACCATCATCTCTTGAACTCTTTCCGTTACTTCCTCTGTCTCCCTTTCATTACTGGACTCCTGCTTTTCTTCTATATGTTTCTGCATCTCCGTTTCTGTCTCGCTCTCTCTGTCTCTCTTTGGGTAGGATTCTCCGTGGGCACAGGCTGGAGGTCAGCAGAATCCCACGGGATCGTCACTGACCAGCTCTTTGTCAGGGATGGTGCTTAGAGGTCCTTCTGCCCTCTGCTGCTGGCTCTGGAGTTGAAACTGAAGCTGAGGTAAGGGTGGGGGGTGAAGATAGGCTGGTGGCTTTGAAACAGTTTGAACCAGAGGGAGAGCTGGTAGCTGGGGATGAGGCTGAGGAAGGGGATGGTTGTATGCCTGAGGTGTGATATGGGATTGGGGCTGAGTCTGGGACTGGTGCAGTGGTGGAGGCTGCAGGTGGGGCTTGGTCTGAGGCTGTTGCTGCATCTGGACCTGCTGTGGCTGGTGGCAAGAATGGTGCTGGAGCTGGGGGGAAGCGGCACCGTTTTTACTGAGGCCACAGGATTGAGCTGCACAGTGAATCTGACGCAGAGTGTCCAGTGCCTCGCTCTTAGCGTGCTTCAACAGGTCTGCCTGGCCCTGAGATTTAGAGATAAAGACAAAGAGAAACAACATTGTCAACAACACCTTACCATATCCAATTTTAAGACAACAAGAAAAGCGGGAAGCATTTTCCCCTAGTTCTATGCTACCCTTTTGAAAAAAAAATTTTGATTTCAAAAGGATTTTTATCGGGTTAAATAAAGATTAAAAAAAACATTTTCCTTAGTGCATTAACCAATAGGATGCAGAAGGTGGCAGTATAAAGCTGCAAATGAAGGTCTTTGGTTTCTTGCCAGCCCTTTGTACTGCTTCTTTCAGCCTGGCGAATAGTGCTGTCATATGGTCATAATATTACAGTACATTATAGTACATTACTGCTCCTTATTTGGGAGCACTCAGAGATAGATCCTTTCCATATGTAGAGCAAAAGGTCAGGGTAGGCATCCTGCTTTACAGCAGTGTCAAATCAGTGTGGGCCAGTGCCATGGTTGCCTGTTCCTTTAAGCTAGCAGGAACGTCTTCTCTACATGTACTGTAGATATTTATGTATGTGAGATATACTTAAATTATTAAAACTGAAAAAAAAACCCTTGACCTCATTAACTTCAAATCTTGACTCTTCCCTACAGGCCTCTCGGTACTGTCACAACCACCTCCAGAACTTTTTTAGACCAGCATTCCTCCAACATGTGTTCACAAGCAGGTTGATTGTTGTTGCCGTCTCATCTGTGAATCTGTACATTTTCCATCCCTCCCACTGAAGTTCGATCTGGGCTCCATTTGAGCGACCTGCTGTGACAGCTCATTGGATTAACTCACCCTTTTTTGACCAGATTAAATTATAAATGGTGAAAGAGATCAAGTTGTCACAGCCACAAGGCAGCAGGTGCAGCAATCTGACATAGTGCAGGCAGTGTAAAGGTGTTACCCTGTACACAACACCAAACCTTCTACTCTCAGGTGATGTTAAATACATTAAGTAAAAGGTCACTTTTACCTGAGGCACCTCAGGACACAAACAACGAGCATGAACAGGGCATATGTATGAAAATAACTGAAATTATGTAAGTCATGACTCACCAGGCATAAAAAGACATTTAGAAGCTTGTCTTGTGCTGCCAGAGCCAAATCACGACAGCACTTGTATTTCAGTGCATTTCCCCCTGCAACTGGCCTAAAGCTATCCACAGGGGGCTAAACCAAAACAAGGGCAGCCAATGAATCCTACCACCATATCCTTGTTAAATTCTAGCCTATAATCTCCTTCTTGTTTATTAGAATCTGTCCATCCCTTTGATTGGAATTGGGCAGTCAATAGTCTGCCTTGAGTGTATTACTTTAAAGGTCTCAAAACAATATTGACCTGCCTATACTTAAATGCAAATAGGTTTTAGTTGCTGTTAATTTTTTTTCACCCAGAACATGACTACACTGGAAGAAATGAGGGATAAAATACACAGCCCTCATTCTGTGCAAACAGGTTGACTGTTGTTGCCGTCTCATCTGTGAATCTGTACATTTTCCATCCCTCCCACTAAAATTCATCTGTGGGGTCAGCTGTCCCACAAAGTTACAATCTATTTAAGAAAAATTTCTCTCTTTTCATTTCGTGGAATAAAGCTCCTTGCTGAGTTGTTGTGGTGGGATCCGTTCTAGTAATCACATACAAGTTTTGTTACCAGCTTTTTACTCATGGTTAACAAAAAGAGGTAATTGAAAACACATGTTGGAAATTAAGCTTGAGGAGGAATTCGCTGTGCAATGGCGAAGCATACATATATAAACAAGTTTATTGCAGCCTCTCTTGGTTATCATAACACGCCCCATGAAGATATTTGTTTCTATAGTATGAAGCGGAGTCAAAGAATGTCACTCTTAGACTTTAAGTAAACTGCTGACTGTCATCACCACGGTCTTCTTAGTAACATTATCTTATACATAATGTACATAACTTTATTTTGGTTGATTGATAAATAACAACACTATGCATTTACTTGCACTTACTCTTTCATCGGCTGTTAGCCCGACTAGTGATGGCACAGCTGTGCCTTTTAGAGCATAACACCACTGCTATTGTGGTAGCAGAGGTGCTATGGGGGCTCCACACACACATAATTCTCTCAGTTTGCAAATGTTTTGACTGCTATATATAGCAGGGGATATAATTTTAGGGGTCAGTTAAATTTTAAAATTCATGCTATACGTACAACCAAAAAAAGATTTTGTATTTCCATAAGTGGGGTAAAACTATGGAATAATTTAAGTGTGGACATAAAAAATAGTAATAGAATTGACAAGTTTAAACATAAATATAAAGGTATGTGTCAATCAAGATATATGCAAGAACAGGTTTAATGATTAACCAGATGGAACATGGTGGGTGTGGTGTATGATTGTTAACACTCTGTAATAATTCTTTAGTATATTACTTGTGTGGTGTAGAAGATAATTATTTAAGAATAAGAATGTAATTGTGTAAAAATGTTAACACTCTGTTATAATTTTTTTTAGTATATTACTTGTGTGGTGTAGAAGAGAATTATTTATGTAGAGATACTGCTTGCAAACCAATGATGGTAAGATGATGTAACGGGGTAGGACTGGATAAGTCTGACTTCTTCCTACTCCATTCAAGCATGTACTAGGTATAAGCAAATTGATAATGCATTTGTGTGAAATTATGTGTGTTGACATATTGACTGTCGTTACATGTTTGAATCAAATCAAATCAAATCAAATCAAATCAAATCAAATCAAATCTATTAGCCATCACTTGGTCCTTTCAAGATTTCTCAGTGAAAATCTTTTGTTTCTATCAGAACACCCTGGATAAACGCAGACAGGAACCAAGTTCTCATTCACAGTGAATAATGCGATCGATACAGCTTCTGGAAAGCTTTATTGATTGCTTTTGATGCACTGTTAATTCTCTTGATGTAAAATTCCTTTCTTATCAATAAGGCGCAGATGAGGCAAGAACAAGCCAGAGAAAAAAAGGTGGACTCAGAGATGTCAGGCACACACAAATATAATCCAAACACAGATTCTACTGTGGTTTTTACGGGTGTCCCAAAACCACAACCTGCAAAAATACTCCAGTTATAAAATCTGCAAAGTACAAATTTAGTTCCAAGTTTAACCCTGAGCACAACTTGAAAACTAAAGACAGCAACAAACTTGCACACAACTACTTGAACATAGCCTTTCACTGCAACTCAAGGCAAACAAAAGCATCTTTATTAAGACTGTAACTTTGCCGTTTCATTTGAAACATCACAGCAACCTAAGATCTATTCTAGTGAACCTACAACATGTCAATATTGTTTTACCACCAACATCCCAAACCTATCCTAAGGCTGTAGATGTAGATAAAAAATGGGGAATGTGACACTGGATAATAAGCCATACTGAGATCAATGCATCTCCACATGAAATATCATTTTCAGATTCTGTGGGTTCCTATTAGAGATGAACTAAAGCATTAAACAACAGTTAATTATAGTAAAAACCGCAACGGTGATTGATTTGGGAGACAGTTACAGGTAACATGATTTTGGGGCCTGTTATTTTGTCTTAATGAGCAGTTCAAAGCTTCTCTTTCTGCCTCTCTGGTTTTGATTTATTCTTGACAGGAAGGTACAGTGAATGACAGGATGATATCGTTGGAAAAAAAGAAGAAAATTCCCTCATTCACCGTGACAGCTCTGGTCTGACTGCAACTGTCTAAGGGCGGAGAGGAGAGTTAGGAGACAGGAAGTGAGAGGCAGAGAGAAGACATGGGTTTCTCTCACTTCCTGCCAGCTCCTCACCATCTACCAGCAAGCACTTCCCAGCCTGCTGAGGATCTGGAGTGGTTAGGTGAAATAACTGGGCATGGCTGGCAGCCTTGGCAAACGGACACCCGGGTCTCACCAAATGTTCAGTATGAGACACAGATTACAACTGAAGAATGGGAGGAGGAAGAGGAAGAGGATGCACAACAAGATGCTGTCATGTTGTAGCTCAATGTTAAATATTAGAGGACTTGGAAAGGACTAAAGTGTGTGTTTGGACAGACAAGGTAGGACAAAAAACTATGATGAAAAATGGAAAAAATGATGAAAACTGGACTAAAAGGTATTTAGTTTTTATTGAATAAAACCAACAAAATTCAAATGACTAAAATTTAGCTATATGTATTTTTGTCAAAAGATTACAACTAAACCAAACTGAGGTTCTGAATTTAACACTGTAGCAGGGCTTAGGTTTGGATGTCTACTGGTGATTTAAACACATGCTTTTACCAATTCTAGAAAGCGCAAAAAGGTTTTACTAAGGTAAATGTGTTGCACACACTGCTACTGTATAGTGCAGGGAAAATAAGAACAAAAATACTTTGTTACAATGATCTACTACTACTATAGCCATAACTTTCATTAGTGCTGCATTTCATTCATTTATAATTTAATAATTCCAGGCATATGCCATTTCCAGCATCCAAAATTTGGGAATTTCCTACTTTTATGATTTGCTGTTTTATGTCGTAAAGATTTAGGACAGTTAATTGAACAATACAAGCAATCTTCACAAGTTTTAGGTGCTTCCAGTGTGATGAGGCAGACATGAAAGGGCAAAGAATGAAGCGATCAAACATCTACCTAACCTACCACTGCAGCAAAAAAGCTCAGCCAAGGGAGCTTCTTCACTCAATACTAAATGATTTCAGGGTGATGAGATGAGATAAAAATATCCTGGCCGCTTGGCCCTTACTTAGCCAAACAGGCCCACTGCGCAGAGCGCTGTCTGACCAGCATGAGGTGTTTTATCAGTGCTGGTACTACAACCAGTGATCATAGAAGTAATGGGACGAGGACATTAGGCAACCTAATCTCTTGTGTCATAGGGCAGGCAGAGACAAGAATGCATTTTGCTGAGTATTATATTTAAGACTTGTCCACATTGCCCAGTGCCTCCTTAAGAGGAATAACAGAGCAGCACGCCTGCATCTGCAACCAAGTGTGAACAATCCTCTTGTCAAAATAGTCACAAGAGCAACTCAATAAAATAGTACTTAGAATCAACAGTAATTAATTAAAAGATTTAGGGATTAGAGATGAGGCAAACAGAATAAGCTCAGAGAGCTTTCTTAAGACACCATTTGGTTTAGTCTCAGCAGCTGGATTTGGGATTGCCTATTGAGCTGCTTATAGCCTCCAATATAACCTTACATGCTGAAATCAAGCAAGGGTATTAGTCAGTATCTTATAAAACCTGGAGGTATAATGTAATTATAGAGGTCTTTGTTGTGCGGAGTCAGACTCACCTTGAGTACAGTGATGTTCCAAGCGTAACTCTCCATGGCCTTCTGAAGTTTGCGGCCTTTCAGACCCTCCTTTGCTCCAATGCGATGCAGGTCCTCATGGAAGTCCAGACCTGAACACACACACACACACATACACATACACACACAACATGTAAGATTATAAAATAATTTTTAATTTTTTGTGATTCATTAAGACAATGAAATGTTTTTAAACAAATATCTTGATGCATACAGAAGAACTGTAAGGACAAACACTCCACTTGAACATTAGTAAAGAATTTATCTGGCCAAGCAGAGGTCACGTCTCCTCAGCCACACAAGCCTTGTTTTATTACTTTATCAAATCTAAAATGCAGAGACATTAAAATAAAAAATTCTCATTATCCAAATCCATGACTTACCTGTTCCTTAACTTTCCATCTATCCTGACTGAAATCTATTAACATGTACCTCCAGCTATCAAATAGACAAACATATAGCCCCCTTAATGAACACAACAATACATTAATTTCACTCTTCATTTGCAAAACACATAGACACCCTGCAAAACAAAAGATTTTTTAGCTCACCATAAAAGTTGTCAAATTGAGGTAGTGCAATGCAGGTTCACCTCAAATTAGTCTGTCAGTACGTTTTGGCGTCATTTAGCCCAGCAGACCATTACTAATCCTACAGGCTTTAAAAACTCCTCCCAATGCTGTAAATATCTACCTGCTTGTCAGTCTGTCCCTGACAAGTGATCTAATGCCACTCCAGCCTTGATTCACTGCCAAGACACTGAAGACACAAAATACTAGCTATAATTCACAAAAAGCCCATCATCAGAGGTCATTCATTCTTTAGTCTTCAGCTCCTTTCAGGAACTAGTTGGCAGATAGTCTCCCTAATTAGATAGATTTTTGTTAGGGAACAGGTTAATTACATCAGCCCGAGGGTATACTATACTGTCTTGCTTGTTTGAGAGTAAAGATAATATACATGTAACCAAGCTATAAAATACTGAACCGCATTTACCAGAAACACAAAATCTCAAGATTTAATATTCAATGAACCACTTAGGTTTTGTGCTATAAAAGTATGCCACGCTGCCCCTCTTTAAAAAGCAATTACAGTACATTGTCTACTACTACACAAAATCTATATATTGCGGTTCTTAAGAGTGTATCCTTGATGCATACAATCATGTGTACACATGCATACACATAGATACAGGCCTTCCCATCCAACATTGATTTATTTTATTTATTTATAGCTCATTTGACAGGAACAATGCCCATTATTGAACACTGCAGTACTAAATGCACCAGAGTTGGCCGGGCACAAGGCTATTTTTCATCTGTAGTTCCTGGATAGCTGTTAGCACGTCAAACCTTGAGAAGAACATACTGTAAAACGCAGAAAAAGGCAACACTACAAGTCCTCTGTCTTCTTTACTTGGCCAAACTACAAGCTACAACTCCACCTGATTGATTATCAAAACCCCTGGTCCAGAACCTTCCATTTATGCTCCGATAGACCTCAACCCAGTCTTCTTTAAACCGATAGACTGACTTATGCAAATGTAATTCCAGCAACTTGAATAAATAAGGCACGGAGCTGAATAAGAGATTAAATTAGCTGCAGCTGGCTTGTCACAATACAGACTCTTCAAGCATTTAATTTCCCAATTATTAAGCATTCCCTTACCCCAACACTCACTGTTTCTTACTGGCCCCTAGACTCTGAATCTTCAAATAATAAACAAAATGTGGCTCCTATAGCACTCGACTGGGACTGGATCATATGCTTTACTTCTTTAGTGGAAACAGAAAGAGAGGGATACAGACAGATAGAGAGAAATTAGTGCTTAGACAGACAGGAGGACTGAGGGGACAACATGCGTCCTCTGAGCAGTGGCACACATATGTAGGCAAGAACACACAGTGAAGGCTCACAGCCGCTGCACAGAGCAGAGTGTTTTTGCCTTCATAATGAGTACTGCAGCAGCACCTCTTAAACTCAAAATGCACATGTACAGAAACAGGCCAAGAGAGAGAAGCAAATAATTATGTAAATAACTAATAAAATAAATAAATAACAAAGAAAATGTCCAATCTCTTTGTATGGACAGACAGGTTTATAGAGAGGCTGCAGTTCCTAAACCCATACACTGTGTTAACATGGCTGGATGCAGGGGTATTTTTTGAACAGCTCACAGCTTAGATATTGAATACACAGCAATTCTGAGAGATGCACCGAAGCACAGAGATGCTGTATAAATAGCTTAATTACAGTTACGTCCTGACTCCTCTCTAAGGTACCGTCGCCTCTGTTCTACTAGCATCTAAACTCATTAGTTTTTCAGTTGTTGTCAATCAGTGTTTATTGTCTGCACCTGTTTTTACCCCTTTATAGGCAGCTTCCTCCCACCGGAGCTGCCAGATTGTTCTAGACTCCTGTTCAGACTTTCCAGCGGGTTTTCTTGTTATCTGTTTTTCCTGTGCTGACCCCGGATTGTTTTTTGACCACTGAGTACTGCCTTACCCTCCTGATTCTGACTATCTTCTGTGTATCAATTATTGGACTTCCCTCCTCGACCTCTCGTTTGTGGATCCCTCGGCTGTGTGTGTGTGTTTGCCGGCACTGACCCTGGACTGGTATTATCGACTTGATTGTGTTTCGAGACTTCTGCACTGTATGCTGTGAGTTGTGCTCAGTAAAAAGACTGTTTTGCTTAACCTCGTCTGGCAATTTAATTGAGTTCACCTTCAACATTGTTGGCAGCTTTACTCGCCAACCCTGACACTATTAGTATGTTTCTGTTAATTTGTGTTTATACTTCTGACAATGAGGTGGTGGAGCATATTTTAATTGAGAGGGATGTACTTAAGAAGGCAGTGTTATCAAGTGCTGTGTTGTAGCTTTGTGAGAAGTATACAATATTCATACACACTCATGCCTCAGCCTTTGTTGATGCCCAGTTTTGTAATTTGTAAAGCACCTTTTTGAACATTTTGGTTACTTTATGTGAAATGTGCATCTGGTGAGCAGTAAAGAAATCTGTTCATCTACAAACTGGCAAATATACTGGCAGCGTGCATCAATACTTATATTAGCAGCCCCTCTGTGGAGTTTTAGGAGTAGCAAGCACTCACTACATTGTCCATAATAAAAGACAAATGTGTATCTACTACTGTAGTAAAATCGGAACACCTAGTAATTCTAACAAAAATAGATGATTGTTTGATAGCTTCAGTTCCCATTTTTCTTAGCCCCTGCTCATGTTTGAGCCTAGTGGGAGCTGTAGTGTTTGAATGCTTATAAAATAACGATCATTTTATGATTGTTAAAATGACAAAAGATTCTTTTTTTTCCCTGGCCTCTACACTAGCAGGTACGCATTTAGCTGAATATGGACACAAAAGACCAGAGATATGCTTCAATTCTTTTAGAAGACCTGATGAAAGACACCCTTACTAAAGGAAATGGAGTCACAGGAACCATTGCAGCAGATGTTGGTTACTATAGGAGATGGAGTGAGAGTTGTGCTCTTCGTGCACAAATAGATTGGATACGCTTGCAGACACATAAGTCAGTGTTACAGAGTCTACACACAAACACACAGTGGTAGCATCTGGAGATGCCACAGAGTGCATCCCAGCTGTCTATCTGATCCCCCCTTTGGCAAGCCATCAATAGTGCCCAGGGGGGATCATCCAGCACCTCTCCATCCCCATCAACACGTCAGATTCACTGCCCAAATTAAACTGATTAGCTGCAATAATGACTGAGCATAAACTGAACACAGGAAGGAAAGAGGAAACCGAGGAGAGGTTGTTGGGAAATAAGAACCACAGCAGCCTAAGACTGTCCCACTCTGTCCGTTTCTATTCTCCAGATGTATGAGAAACCTGTCAACATGCCAGTCACTTCATGTTAGTCAGTTTTAAAACAAAAGGCAAGCTAAGAGGTCAGTCCAGGTCCCTCACTTCAGATTACAGCCTGCGCATCATTGTGATTATGGCTTTGCCACAGTAGCTGATGAGCAGAGTACACTTTTAATGGTTGGGGCAAAAGTGTCAGGTCCAATCAAAGGTCTGAAATTAACACACACACACACACACACACACACACACACACACACACGTTCTACACCATGCCATATTCTCTCTCTGATGCTGACAGCCTGTCCTCTAATAACACCTTTTTCCCACTTCTCATTGACATTACACCAAAATTATACTGTAGCATTGGGGGGTTCCAGATCGATCACAGGCACAAAACCTTCAATTCCATGCACATCCACCACCTCGCTCTACATATGCCTCCACTCTCTAATTCTCTGTCTGTGTCCCGGCTGTTGCCATTGTCATCTTCAATTTGTACATAATCATATGGCTTATGAGATGGGTTTTGAAGGGTGTAATCAGTACTTGTCACTCTATCAAAAGAGGAGTCATGAGTTCAACCTAATGTCCTCTGTAGTTTTTCTGTTCTCTAGAGGATAAAAACATGCTTATAATGAACTAATGTGCAGGCTAAACAAGACAAACATGACAGAAACGTCGAGAAAACCAGTTTAGGAAGAAGAGGATGTAATATCGAATTTACTTACAGAGATAGGTGAAGCTATATGTGAGTAGGATTGTATTATATCCACTGACTTTAATTGTAAAGTTTAAGTGACTTACATTAGTCCCAATACTTTCATTTTTTTCATATAATAAGCATTGTGAACATCAAGCTATTTAGAGCTAACTTTAATGTAATAATATTGCCATATAGCTGTATTTAATTTTCCATACAGTGAAAACTAGATGGATCGTTATGCTAAAATTCTGCATATATGTAGGCAAAAGATCAAAGGACAACACAGACCTGATGAGACAGGAAGCAGATGGAGAGGACAAAGCGCCTGCTGAGCAGAGGAGCAGAACAGAAGTGGCTGCATTAATACTGGAATGTAATTAGTTTAATAATCCAGAGGGGGGATTATTATAGCAGATCCAAGAGTGTTGACTTATGAAGCAGTATCAAGCTGCATAATTACCCTATCGAACACTTTTACTATGTTAAAATGCTTTTAATTGTTATTCAAGCATTCTCAGAGGAAAATGTTACTGCTCTTCTACAGCGCTAGAGACAAAATCAGTGTTCTCATTTCAGCCTCATTTTAGTTTCTATTTTGTCATGATGTCTTCTGATATGTTTGTCCTAAAATTCACTATGAGACATAGCTGAGACAAGACAACAAGCAACAGGAATCATTCTTGAGACATAAGGGAAAGGCAAATTTACTTTTGTATTCATAAATGAACAATATTTTATACCAAGTGCTTACATCTGTTGATTCAGATGGAATTGTTGTACATTAGTAACAAGAATGGCAACAGTGAATAAACCCTAACATGTAGATATAATCTGATCCCTTATTCTAAGATAATATTTAATCAAACTTTACATTCTCTTAGGCCAAAAATTTTAGAATTATTTGAAAGTTTAGACTTGCTATCTCACAATGCTGATTTGAGGCAACAAACATTTTATTTTGGAGCAGCCTTCTGTAACATCACAATATATCACAGAAAAAGATACAATTTGTACAATATATTTTTCCTTCTTGTTCACCGCCTCATTTACTGCGACCAAATGTTTGGAAGCATGAATGAACAGACACAAAAGCTGGAAACGCCAAATGTAGGCATTTCACTGATTTCACATCAGTTGGATTTGAAACAAGGATGATTTTCTTACTGTTGCTCCTAAAATGCTGACTATTTGAAGGTTTTCACCTGAGTATATCTGGTCTCCAGTAATGGCACTGCTGTGAGAGTGGCTGTTGCTGTGTGGGGTTTAACCACAGCTTACGTCAGCAGTCTTTGAAGATGCTTGCAGTTCTGGGCTGGGGAACCTCAGAGCCAGGGGGACAGCTCTGTGATTGAAGCCCAAGCATTCAGCCTACATCCCTGGGTAATTGCATAGCACAAAAATCAGCTTGGCTTTTTGTGGTGGGGGGCAATGACGTATACGCCTGCCCCTCTGTGACACCAAGTAGTTAAGCTGGGCATAGTGATCTTAAATTGGCTTTTTGACCTTTTCGATATTGCGTTGGCATGCACTGTAGAGCCAGTTTACTGTATTTTGGGTTTGCAATACACAACAAATCATCAGAAACACAGAAACTACAAACAAATATCCAGCTATTACAACAGGCCAGAATTGACAGGTTTCACATTTGTTTGAGTTATGTCTTTGGTTGTTCTACAGCACAAGAATAAGGCATCAACAAGCAAAGTGAAGATGTACTCTTGTTTGAGATGTGCTCCTATTTGAGGAGCGCTTCAGCAGAGGCAGTGCTTCGTGGTAAAGGAGCAGAGCAAATGAGGAACAATTAGTACTGAATGTAAAAGAGGCTGTGGAAGAAAAGCCATGTTTTTTTTATTTTCTCTCCTAATAACATTATTATGGTTTATTTTATCTTCTTTTCTGAAAGGCTGGAGCTCTTACATCAAGCGTTTTTTTTAATCCATCCCATCCTTCCTCTCCTTTTCCCTCCCCGTTTCAATCCACACTGTCAAATTATTTCATTTCTTCCCTCAAAGGATCTTTATGCTCTCTGTCCTCTTTCTCCTGGAGCCCTGTGTCTGTGGGGCTGGCTGATTGTTTTCATCTGCCCACTTACATGATAACTACATGGTGCTGACTCACTCATGATGGCCCACTATTGACAGCAGCCACTGTTGTTGATATTGATGGAGATGCCGTCAGAGCACGTACACTACGGTCATTCTATTAGAGGACATGACGCATAATACATTGTAAAGAGTGCAGTTTTTATAGTTCATGATTCATGTGGATGCTAAAGGAGAAGAATCTCCTCAACGGAATTTATGTTGTTTTTATTTAATGAAATCCACCAGTAAGTGAGGTAATTTCATTTGTGTCTGACACAAATACTGTCCTTGAATTGTGAGTCATCTTCCTCATAGTAGCAGAGAAATCACAGGGTCTACATTTGAAAAACAGAACAGGACTCATCTCAAAACTACTTTTCAAGAAATATTATGTATAGTGTAAAAAATGGGGATGTTGCAGCTGACGACTCTGCTCATCCCACAGCGTAACATACCTGCCCTTTGTGCTTGTGTGAGTTTGGAATAAACCACATCAGCTGATTCAATCAATGTTCTGCTGGTCTGAATCATCTAGAAGACAAAGAGGATATGACATTAGTCTGCATTATAACACAGCATCATACCAAAGTCACCTGAAAGCCAAAGCAGATAGCTTTGTGATGCAGTACAGATAAGAGGCAAAGAAAAATACCAAGAGAGAAATAATTCATATCAATTACTGAAAGATGTCTTTCTTGCCATATTGTTAGGCTGCAACCAAACAGATATGATCCCCTCAGGAGCCAGGGCCCATTCTGCTGCATTTGGGTTGGGCTGAGCCCTTAGCTGCCATGTTTACATTCATACTAACAATCTAGTCTTAACTCAGTTAAGGCAACATAGCTGTAAATGTCTTTATCTGATTACTTTAATTGGTACAAGATCATAATCAGAGGAGGCAGATTCTTTCCAATTCACAAGTCATGTGTCAGGTTTGCCCTTCCTCTCTTCTTTTTCCTCACACTAGCCTAGCCCTTGCACTGATTACACTATTCAACACACCTGCCCTGCTTCCCCGATTACTCACCAGCTGCACCTCATTAGTCTCCTCCATACTTATACACTGTTCACCAGTCACTCCCCTGCCAGTTCTTTCTCTGTCTTCAGGCCAGTGGTTGTTATGTCGAGTTTATGCTAAGATTGTCTTTGTTCTCTCTAGTCTTTGTTAGCACCCTAGTCGTTATCCTGCCCTGCTGTCTCTAGTGTCTTCTTCCTCTTCGGACCTCTCCTCTGGACCCCCTGGATTCATCAACACCACCAGCCACCGCCTCACAGGTCGATGCACAGTCTCCCTTACCCAGTTTATCCCTGCTCTTCTGTCTACAGCCATCATCACCTCCACCTCGACCAGCCCAGGAGTGACCTCTGCGTCTGCAGCCCGGTACATCATCATCCACCATACCACTGACTGTTTTTCTGCTGCTGCTGATCGACATCCGGTCATCTACCTCATTACTCCTCCTGTATATATGTCACTACCTTCACTGTAAATAAACCTCACTGCTTGCACCGAAGCCAGCCACCTGGGTCCGCTTTTTATCTGCTCGCTCACTCTGTGTTCGAGCGCACCCTAACAGAAAGAACTGGCCAGTATGGACCCTGCTGGCTCCGGTGCAAACAGCGCTTCTGTCCCTGCACACGTCACCACCCAAATGGACAGAATGGCTGAGGCACTGCAGCAGCAGCAACAACAGGACATCTCCGCTATCACCCAGGAGGTAGCACAACTCACCTCGCTCCTACTGTCTCAACACAGTCACGCTGCCACCCCAGATCCACACTCCGCTCCCCATGCTGCCAGTCCCCGTCGTGATCCGCCTATCCCCGAACCAGATGTCTTCAACAGCAGCGTGGATAAGTGCCGGGGTTGTCTGCTGCAGTGCCGCCGGGCGTTCGATCAGCAACCACGGACATTTCGCACGGACAGAGAGAAGATCAGTTATGTTATCAACCGGGTGCGTGGGAAAGCGCTTACTTGGGCCGAGGCTGCGGACTCCAGTGGTGTGCTCATCGGCACCACCATCACTGAGTTCCTGGATGAAATACAGACTGTTTTTTCACCTTCATCTCATCAGGGTCAAGCTGCCAGGGAGCTTATGACTCTGGTGGACTTGGCCATCCGGATCGACAAACAGCTATGCTCTTCCCACAAGAAAAGAGCAGGGCGGCAGTCGGCCCCCCGGACCCGCGTCATGACTTTACCACCTGCCGAAGCCCGGGTATCTCTCTGCATGGGGGATTCTCAGACCTGCACTCCACAACAGACAGATGAACCCATAGACCTGGGACGTGCCCATCTAGACCCTGAAGAACGGGCCTGCCGTATCCGCACTGGGTTATGCCTGTATTGTGGGGCTCCAGAACATCTCATCGCCACCTGCCTGGTGCGGCCAAAAGAGCTGACTGCTGACCCACATCACTCACCGGACTCCATCCCTCCATCTCACCATTGCCGGCAACCATCACGAGGACATCCACTTCCACATCTTCTCCATTCCAGACACACCACTGGTTTTGGGTCACTCCTGGCTGGTCCAACACAACCCTACTGTTGACTGGACCACCGGCACCATCACCCAGTGGAGCCCGGACTGTGCATCGACCTGTCTCCTCGCCGGACAACGCACCTCCTCTTCTCCTGCTGCACCACCAAAACCTTTGGACCTGTCCTCCATACCCCCGGACTACCACGACCTGCAACAGGTGTTCAGTAAACACCTGGCCACGGACTCTCTCCCCCCTCATAGACCATATGACTGTGCCATCGACCTGTACCC